TCTGCATGCCGGCTGCAACTTTCTAACTTTCTGTGTGGCAACAAACCCAAATACAAGCATTTAATCACCGCCTAAAGGGCCTGAGGGGGAAATTTAATGTCTTACTCTTGTTTCAATGTCTGCAATTTGAAAACTACTCATATTGCAGATGCAATTAATTTGCCAGCCATATCCTTCACCATAAAGGAATATTATCTGCTGAAGTGATACCTGAATTGTTTATAATAGTGAAACTATTGTAAACTATGTAATAAAGCAGTTTACTCTTACTGGTAGAATTCTTTTAAAATAAAGAAACTCATAATAATTATTTAGAGATTAAAAATGTTTTTTATTGCATTTAATTCCTGATTAAATGAGTGTGGTGGTCATTGTGTAAACAAAGGTTTTATCCATTTGATAAGCAAAATTTTAAATAATCAGGGATGGAAACAGTCAGAAATAGAAAGAAAGCTGCAAATGTTTAGTTTTAACACAACCAATATAAAATCAGGGCTAATCTACCTGTAGCTCCACTAGAGGGAAACCTAACCTCTGTCCTTATTCTAAATCCTCTTCCTGTTGCTTTTTATTCCTCAGGAAAATACATAGCTGCAACTCAGCGCCCCGATGGGACGTGGAGGAAGCCGAGGAGGGTGAAGGATGGTTACGTTCCTCAGGAGGAGGTCCCCGTGTAAGTGCTTTACACGCACAGTAATTATACGCTGTTTTTACACGACAGTAGAGGCCAGAAAGTTTCTCACCTCCTGAATTACACGGCTGGTTATGAATGAGGCTCAGAGAGATCTTTAACATTAGTGGAAGTTTCTATGTTTGTCTTTAAAGGAAACATGTCACGCTAAACTGCTTCTTTAGCCCTTCTGTAGGGCAACTTACTGTTTTTAAACACTTTGATCATATCCAGGAATTCAGCAAAGATGCTGCTACATGGCTGGACATCTTTTTTTGGCATTTGACCAATTAGATGAGCCCTTCAATGATATATTACCTAGTGGAAATTAAGTTGGGGAAAAAAGTTAAAAAGTCAAGGAAAAAGGTAAAAAAAAAAAAAAGTTAATAAGCTAAGATAACTTATATTTAGGTTTATAAACTAAAAAATGCAATTGCCAGTATCAACATTAATGCCTCTAAGGTTAAGTTGGACGTGTTTTTTCTTATAGAATCACTTTTGTTATTTTTTTCTTAATATATTCAGGCAAGTTGGCGTTTCTTGTTATTACATTGACATTAATCTTTGCGATCAAAATCAATCAATTTTTTTTTTTTATGTTACAAAGGTAATAAGGTCTGCCCTGGATTCCAGTAACACTATTGGCTTGAAATGTGGATTTCCTGTAAAGGGTTAATGCAGGGCTCCATGTTAACCATCAAGTAGCAAGTAGTTTTTATTGTTGGGAGAGTACAAATTTAATTGCATTTCCCCCGGGGAAGTGCAATGATCGCAAAAAAATGTATTTATCACTCAAAATTACTTTAAAATCACCGACATTCGCTGAAAACGACCCACAAGCGTTGCCGGCGCCATCTTTGTTGTTTTGTACACATTCTCGCGTGATTTGAAAAAGCCGCGTGATTTTCCGCTAGATGGCGTGATTCAGCTCTTGGGGAGATAATCCTGCAAAGCAGCAGGATGATGAATTTAATTTAT